AAAGTGACCTGTCTATAGCACCCCCTCTCTATAACACCCTATTTTGGGGAGTCCCAAGAGGGGGCGCTATAGACAGGTTTAACTGTACATTAAAAGTGACCTGTCTATAACACCCCCTCTCTATAGCACCCTATTTTGGTGATTCCCAAGAGGGGGTGCTATAGACAGGTTTAACTGTATGTAGTACGATGCAATTTACATTAAAAGTGACCTGTCTATAGCACCCTATTTTGGTGAGTCCCAAGAGCTATAGACAGGTTTAACTGTATGTTGAATTTTCATAGTGCTGAATTAAAAAAGAGTCGGTGGACGAGTGGGTAAAACCCTCTATTCCCGACAGTCATGAACCGGGATTGAATCCCACATTAACATTTTGTTTAATAAGTGAATAACCTTCACATATTATTCATTGTTGTAAATATCATAAACTAGCTTGTTCTTGTTGAGGCTTTCCTAATAAAGTGATTTTGGAACAAGATAGTGTCTGAAGATGGTAACAACGCTGTTACCGAAACGTCACACACTATTTATTTATTTGGATTTGGTCTTATTACCTCGTGAAGATAGTATCGAATTAACGTTTACTGTTTGATAGGCTAAAGGTCAAGACATGAAAATATGATTGAATTAGCGCATGTGTCAAATTATAGGGTGTCAAATTAACAAGGTTATACTGTATTTAGCAACTCTCCAGTAAGAGGATACCTCTCACTAAAGGATCCTATGGATCTGCAATCAAGTGTTGTCCAGGTGAATTTTACTCTAGTTTGGCAATAGTCATCTTTGCTACATTTTGTGTGTTGCAAATTAAATATAAATAATTAGGTATTAGACTTCCCAAGTCCTGCTAGCTGCCTCAGTAAAAAGGAAGATGAACAGCGTTGTTACCATCTTCAGACAAAAGTATTGAATGAGAAAAAAACTTTATTTACGGGGCTGCTAACCAAAATAAATGATTTTTGAGCCCCAATGGCCGCGTAAAGTGGAATATATACAAACCACTATGACCAGGCTGGAGAGGCTAGGGACAGGATCTCCGTCAGGGAAGAGGATTGGGTCTGCGGAGGTCAGGAGGCAGGAAGAAGGCGGGAGGACTAGAACTTTGCAGCTCTAGCTCTGGCAGTTGGTCAAGACATTGATCTTGCCTCGTGGTCGGCAGAGAGGCCCTTGGCTGAGCAGTTGGCACACTTGAATAAGAAAATGTATCACAGCATGTTTTAAATAGTTACTTTTATCAAGTGTGTAAACAAGATAGCAGTTGATAAGGTACAATTTGGATTATAGATTATACACACAAGGTAATAAGACCAAATCCAAATAAATAAAATTGTGTGACGTTTCTGTAACAGCGTTGTTACCATCTTCAGACAAAA